TGCTAATTTTCGTAATTCAGCACCGAAACAATCCAGCAATGAACCCAATGGAGTTATAAGTTTTATGCAATGAGACACTAGGTGGAAGCACCCCAGAATGAGGTGGTGTCAAGATCTGCACAAAACACTTCAGCAGCACCTGTTTTTCTCTGCACTGAACGTTCTCCGTTGCTGCGTCTGTGTCTGTTGAGATTAGCAGGCACTATCTCCCACAAGCCTGCATGTGGGCCCAAGGTAAAGTAAAGTAGAAGTGGAAGGTGAATCACTACAGATTCCAAAAGAACCCTTCTGGTTCTTTCAAGATTTGAATGCTGCGAGGTTAAGCAAACAGAGCAAACAAAATAGAAGCAACAAACAATAATGATCATCATTACATAACCTGGAATATGAGCCTGCTCTTGAAATAATGACAAACCGAGTTGCAATTGCAGTGCCCAAGAAAAGGCGCTAGACCGAGACAAGGTTTCTGTACATTGAAATTTAAATTGCTCCATCACCGCTCCCTTCAAAGGAGAACACTGGCAACACTGGACATCCTACTTCTTGGCCTTAGCCTTTGACTTGCCCTTTGCAACTGCCTTTGCCGCTGACTTGCTGGCAGGCTGAGCTTTGGGCTTGGCAGAAGCAGGATTCTTGCCTAATGCTGACGCTGAGGTCTCAGAAGCCGAATGCCGCTTCAAAGCTGTCGCTTGCAGCATCGCAGCCACAGAACCGGCCTATGCAAGCACAATGACAATCAACAAACTTCTTGAAGTGTTGAAGTGATTTCATATTCATCTGGATTCTGGATAAATATATCATAAATGATTTAAGTTTAGAATTTGAAACTTAAATGCTCAATTACCGATGTAATGATGTTGGCTCGACTCCACTGACTCGACGTCACAAAGCTTTTTGACCGTGGTTGGTGGGTGGGACTCAACTGTGCAGTTGAACATTGAAATTGTTTCTGAACCCGGACCACCTCACACCAGTCTACAATGCACTTTGCTGGACCAAGCTGACAACGCCCAACCGCACCACACAGAAGGTAGCCTAGCCTTGGGAGCAGAATACTTGAGGCTTCCAAGACTTCGACCGCGGCCGCGACCTCCTCCACGTCCGCGTTCACGTCCTTTGCTGGTGTCATTGGTTTCTGCCTGACCCTGACCCTGACCATCATGATCATCATCATGACGTTCACATTCC